AGCTACCATACTCATCACACCATTGGTGTTTCTTGGTGTAGTTCAACAGTTCCCTGCTTCACCAGGAGGCTTGTCTTCATGAAAAGCTGGTAAAGCTAGCATTTAAGTCAATGTGAATCATGTGATGCTCACAGCTACCTAGAATGATGCAGGAATCAGTATTTTTTTTTTTAACTCTCTTATTGCCTTTTTAAGTGACCTCTTGTAAAGAAACAAACACTGCACACCAGCCTCTCAGCTTGTTTTGTGTTGCCCCTGCTCACATGCAGCTGGGAGTGGTGGCACATTCCACAGTTTCCCCTCAAGTTTCTGTTACCAGTAGCTCAGACCTGTGCTACTGGGTGGAGGTCAGGGGTTGGGGATCAGGTCTCCTCATTTCTCTCCACCCTAATTCAGCTCTCATCTTCTTCCGTCAGCCTCTCCATCATTTTTTCCCTCTTCTTCTACCCATGGGAACTAGATTTTAAAACTTGCCCTAAAATCTATCACTTTGGTATTTTTAACAAGTAATTTCATTCAGTACCCACCAGGAACAGCAACTGGCTTTGTGTAATGACTCATGGGACATGTCTATGTCTCTTGTTGTTCCAAACCATTGCTTATCAAAATTGTTCCTGGGTCTATTCAAAGGGAGGTCTCATTGGGGACTAGAATCTAAATTCTTCAAGTAGAATTCAGAAACCCCCAATCTGTCCTTCCCTGGGACCCATCAGTTCACCTCATTCCTTCTATAGGAAAGAGAAGGGAAGAGAACAGAAGAGTGTTTGCATACTAAGGGGACACTTATTTGCATGTTTGAAGGTTGTCTCTTTCGAAGATACAGGACACTCCAATCACAGGCTGTTTAGGATCACAGTGACAGCCTGGTTGGGTCTCCTAGAGGCTGAGGTGTATGTCCAGGTCCAGGGCTAGCACTGGTGACGCTAAGAGTGAAAACATCCTACCCAAATCCAGTCCTCCCCTTGGAGCAGCCTTTGTCCCCTTGTGTCTCTGAACAGCCAGCCGCATTCGGGTTGCCCAGGCTATAGGCAGGTGTGTGCTTTGCCGTGTGTGTTTGTTTCTCTGCGTTATCTGGGGGTGCCTTGAATAAAGTCAAGCTTCATGACTTACTGATTCTGGAACAAAGCAGTTACAATTTTTCTTTTAAAAAGTTTGCAAAGTTACTAGGCCATCCTGCTACTTCTCTTCCAGGTTCCCTAACAATGACTCAGGCATCAGAGGTGATGCTGCAGTAGGAAACATTATTTTTATGTCATACAAGTAATTTATTTACTATCTTTCTTAAGGTTTGCTGCTTTTTAACATGCACTATAATTTTGGATGTAATCCTTGCATTGCTTTTCCAACAAAGTTTAAAAATGGCTAGTAACTAGTGTGCTAACTGCCTCTTCTCCTGGAAGGAGCTCCAGAGCACCCACAGGATCTGCATGGAGGACTAGCTAAAGCCTACACTTTTCTCTTGTTTTAATATGTTATGATTTGCCACTGAAGAAGAAAAAGACAAAGATTTGAAATTTCCCAGTCTTGCCCCAGGGTTGCTTTGCATCTGGTGGAATTACATAGTCCTCCCAAGTGAGTCAGTCTGTAAACATGGGATCACATAGTCCTCCCAGGTGAGTCAGTCTGTAAACATGGGATCACATAGTCCTCCCAAGTGAGTCAGTCTGTAAACATGGGATCACATAGTCCTCCCAAGTGAGTCAGTCTGTAAACATGGGATCACATAGTCCTCCCAAGTGAGTCAGTCTGTAAACATGGGATCACATAGTCCTCCCAAGTGAGTCAGTCTGTAAACATGGGATCACATAGTCCTCCCAAGTGAGTCAGTCTGTAAACATGGGATCACATAGTCCTCCCAAGTGAGTCAGTCTGTAAACATGGGATCACATAGTCCTCCCAAGTAAGTCAGTCTGTAAATATGGGATCACATAGTCCTCCCAAGTGAGTCAGTCTGTAAACATGGGATCACATAGTCCTCCCAAGTAAGTCAGTCTGTAAATATGGGATCACATAGTCCTCCCAAGTGAGTCAGTCTGTAAACATGGGATCACATAGTCCTCCCAAGTAAGTCAGTCTGTAAATATGGGATCACATAGTCCTCCCAAGTGAGTCAGTCTGTAAACATGGGATCACATAGTCCTCCCACGTGAGTCAGTCTATAAAGATTCTTCAAGTCTGTATTTGATTGCTTATTCCTACACACTGTGGCCCATCTAAACTAGGAGCTGTTTATTGATGACCTCAAACTGCTCCACTGTTGCTTACAGTGTAGAGGGAATCTCAGATCTAGAAGAGAGCAAGAATAAAGGTTTATCCTCAGATCTCTCTCTCTCTATCTCTCTCTCTCTCCCCCCTCTCTTATCTCT